GTATCCCGGTCTGCATCAAAAGAAGCATGGCCAGCAGATTGAGGGAGGGGATTCTGCTCCTCTACCCCACTCTCGTGAGACCCCAACTGGAGCACTGCGTTCAGCTCTGGGGCCCACAGTACAAGAAGGACATGGACTTGTTAGAGTGGGTCCAAAGGAGGGCCATGAAAACAGAGGACTGGAACACCTCTCTTATGAAGAAAGGCTGAGAGAGTTGGGGTTGTTCAGCCTGGAGAAGGGAAGGCTCTGGGGAGACCTTACTGCGGCCTTTCAGTATATGAAGGGGGCTTATAAGAGAGACAGAGAGACAGTTTTTGATAGGGCCTGTAGTGATGGAACAAAGGGCGACAGTTTTAAACTGAAAGAAGGTAGGTTTAGACTGGACATAAGGAAGAAATTTTTTATGATGAGGGTGGCAAGACACTGGAGCAGGTTGCCCAGAGAAGCTGTCGATGCCCAGCCAATGGAAGTGTTCAAGGTCAGGTTGGACAGGGCTTTGAGCAACCTGATGTAGTGAAAAATGTCCCTGCCCACGGAAGGGGGGGTGGACTAGATGGTCTTTAAAGGTCCCTTTCAACCCAAACCGTTCTATGATTCCCCTCCAAAATAAGTATCAGAGACACAGCAATCAAAGCAGATAGACTGCATTTTCAGCTTTTCTTACCCGCAGGCATACAGCATGTTGGACATAAAGGTGACAGGGTTAGTACTGCGAGAGGTGTCCATCACATAAACAACAACTGAAGGAAAAGAGGAAGCCTGGAAACCGAAAGTAAAAGATATTTTAATTAGATGTACATGCTGTTCAACAGCAACTTCGTTCACACAGCCTCACTGACAAGTCATGTAGAAAACACTTACCAAGGCCTCAGTTATGATGGTTCCTGATGCTGACCAGGTGAATACCTCAATTTGCCCTGGTGTGTCAATAACAACATACCTGGTAAGAAGTCACCACCGACAAAAAATAAGGGAAAATTAGTTAAGCACAAGGTCCTGTTCTGACTAGATTACCACAAGCACGTAATGGCAAATCACATGATTATTCTGTTACAGATCAGAAAAGCTTCTCCCAAACAGTGACAAGATTTATGGGCATGCTTGAAAATTTCCTGTGTGTTTTTTAACTAAGCAGCATGTACTTGCTTCAGATTCTATTAAAGTTGAAAGCATCCATTTGACACTTAGTACTGCAAACTCTTCAGAAGAATTCATTGTTGCCTATTTGAACAGTGCCTGAGAAAAAGTTACAGTCTAATGGAAGACAAGAAAAGCAGAACTGGAATCAGCAGACATTTCCTCGATATATCCTTGTTTATCTATTCTAATTCTATGCCCTTTTCCATATAAAATTTACACCAAGGCTGAAAAACAAGTAGAAAACATGCAGAGAGCCTTTTTAGGATTTCATATGGTTTTCCCACAGTGATCCCAGAAAAGTAGAACTTGATAGAATGTACTCACTTGGATGCATTTTGCCTTTTTTCAATAAACTTCATCACCTGATTGAAAAAGAAGGAGTATACTTTGTATTTAGGCTCACAACAGGAAACTCTCATGATCATTTCGTAACAGAAACTACATTAACTTGCACAGCTGCATGTATGTATCAAAAGAAGATTAGAGCCTCTAAGCTTTTCAGTGTGTGAAAATACCCTCCTAAGGAAGAGTGAAAATGCTTAGACCACTGCAAGGTCAAAGACAGCCTTGATTTTGTCTGTGTTCTAATACCTGGCTAAAGAAATGGTATAACAAATGCAGTTGTTCCCTGCCTTTTTACTAAGAGCTTGTGCACTGTCTCAATCTCTTGCCCAAGTTCCCACCCCAGCGCTGAGTTAGCATTATGATTTAAGAGAGCAGTCAGTTATCAAATAACCCTAGCAAAATTTAACCCATCTCCAGAAGTGAGCTTCCCTACTTCAAAATCAGAGCATTCATATGAAAGATTTTATAGCAAATGTGGGAGCAGCTCGGAACACCTGGCATTTGTTTTAAAGAGTGAACGTTAGAATTTGTTGTGCTGCATGTTTGCCAAGCCTTTGAAGAACTAGTTTTACAAGGTCGGGTTGGAGGATGGCCTGGTGTATGCCTGGGAAGATGTGGCTGAAGACAGTCACGAGTATGCGTACGGAATGTTTTTATCTTTAACTGTTCTGAGGACTGGCAAACATCCCAGCCAAGCCAGATATGCACTCTTGTGTTAGTAACATGTAAGTACGCTGTAAGAGACAATAAAGAGTTCCTTTTTTGCCATTGCTTCGGAACCATCTCGTTGTCATCCCGAGTGCCTCTTTCATTGCCGCAAGTGAACACAGTGCAACAGAACAGTTATGTACAAAGACTAAAGAATGTTCTGTACACGTGGCTTCTAAATTCTACTTTTAAAAAAGCTGAAAAACTGAAATCTCTCAAATGAAAGCTAATGGGCTTTGGCAGCTTTGTAAAATACATGGCTCTGTATGGAGAATACTCTAACTCCAAAGAAATAATTAGGAAGCTAACCAAACACAGTGCTCTCTGAGGCTCCAAATACACAAAAAAATCCCACAGCCTCCCAGCACAGTATCACGTAGGAACAACCTCGTACCTGATCAAATCTTGTAGCAAAGAGATTGAGAGAGGTCACTATTCCACCATTTGGGCCCAGCCCATATCTAGACACTTCATTTAGGAAAGCAGATGATTATGCAGACCTCAGAGGGCTGCTTCTTCAATTCTGGTATTAGTTGGCCATGTACAATGCACATTGGATACCTTGCAGCAAAAGACAATGCCCCTAATATACAGTTAAGTCTTTTAAATGATGCAGTAGCATAACAAATACAAAGTGATCTCTCTCTTGCCCAAACACTGTGATTGACAAAAGGAAAAGGGGCTATGCTGTGGCTTCTCCTTGCCATTATTCAAGCATTACCATTCTGTACAAAGACAAAAAATACGTATGTGTATACATCAAAGCCATCTTTGTCTTCCCAAAAAGATTTACAACACAGCCAGTAACTCCGAATTTAACAATGCCCCGAATGCACTTAATTTTAAAAATTTATACTTCAAAAGATAATGAAAAGATTTCTCGCACAAATAAATTTTTAGCAGAATTTAAATTATAATGTGAATGAATGTTGTAAAGATACTCGAAGTGTCGGCTTGAATATGAGGATTTCAAAATCCTTTTTCACACATACATATCTGTATACTAATTACATCCAAAGAAATGAAGAATCTTTTTTTTTTTTAATTGCATAAGAACCAGCACTGATTTTCATCAGTACATACCATTTTCTAGGGCCACTACTCTCAATATCCAAACACGAGGCCAGACACCCTCCTTAAGCATTATTTAATGAGATGCTTAAACTCCAGTAATGGCTAACAGACACAGTAAAGCAAATAATGCACCTACATACCAAACTGAAACTTAATACTTGGATGTTTTTCTTGTAACTCCAAATCAAACAACAGCCAAAATCAAGAATGCTATCCCCCACCATCTTTATTTTTGTCTAAAATATTAAATTTAAGAGTCACACTAGCAAGTCAAATCCAAACACTGTATATTATCTCCATCTGCACCAGTTATTACTTAAGAGATAAAGGACCTCCATACCCCTCTGGAAGTGCAGTCATTTTAGTGTAATGTTACTGAACTATAGTCATCAAACTACTGTGCAGCAAGAGCCAACTGTCCAATGTCTCTGAGATTCAGAAAGACAACAGTGCTTTGATTATGGTCAAACAAAGTGGAAATAGTTTTCTCCACCTACCAGAGGCAAATAGGAATTCACCTATTTGTTTCTAACAAATAGAATTAGACTTCTTAAAACATGGAGAAAAGGCTGCTGGCTTCCACAAAAAAAGATACAAGCTCTTTGAAAGAACAACAGAAAAAAAAAAAAAAAAAAAAAAGGTGTGGGCAGAGTGCCTATTATTTGTAAAAAAGTACTATTTAGCACAGGAGAAAATGACCTAAGGAGTATCAAATCTTGTAGAAGATATGTTTCTAACCTCACATGCAAGAAATACATAGTCAAAAACTTCTGATCTTCACACAACACTCTGCCTTACTGCAATCTCCAACACCTCCTGCCCTCTTCATTGTAGCGTGCGGAAGTGACAGACTCTTTTCACAAAATCTGAGATTCCAAATATCATTATTTAGACAAAAAAGGATACTGTTTCATGACTTCTTTGTACTTCACAGCGTCCCTGATATCTAGAGGAGGAAGACGTATAAATAGTTTTAGAACATCACTTTTAAAATATCCCTCTTCATCAATTTGCTGATAGGTGAAAGCCCTTCTTTTTCCAGCAAGTCTCCTTTTGTCTCAGTAACAGATCTAGCACCAAAAGAAAAAATCTCCCAAACAGAATAAATAAAATCTAACAGATTAGCTATGCTCTCAACATACATGTGAAACCCAACATAACTCATGTAAAACACCACTAATTTAGGTATTTAGCAGTAACCACTTCAGTTGAATTTTATTCTCATTTGATCAACATCAGTTAACAAAGTACATATATGTAACTGTATTATTAGAGATCCAGCACTGGAAGAGATACTCTAATTATTCATGTGACATCAGTAAAACAACTTTGGTATCCACACTGCCTTTCTTATCCTCCGGAGAGGCAGGCTGACAAACTTTAGGAAGTTTAAGAGACAGGACCCTCACAAACCTAATGAATGGTAAACCCTTTGGAACAGCTACACATAAGGACTGTTTTATATCTCTTGAAGTGCTTTAAAGAAGTTATTTGGTAGCACATATGGCTACCACTGTTGTGGATGTAGGGAACCAGATCGAATCTGTTAATATGGTCATCGCTGACAAAGAAAAAAACCCACAAGAACCCAAACACATCAAATCACACCAGATGATGTAAAAAAACCGTACAAACGCGATGGAAGAATACCTTTGGTCCAAAAAGTTCACATGTTAAAGACTGACAGGAGAAAAGAGTTAAATTTACAAAACCAAAAAACCTTAAAGGCCTTCCTTTTGTTAGGACTTGGAATCTCTTAAAGAGAACGCAAGCAACCTAGCCAAACCCCTCACGTACCCCTCCCCCCCCGCTTCCGCGAAAGACAGGAAAAGCAGCGTACCAGAAATGGTTTTATTTATTCATGGCAAAAGGACACTGGCTTTCTTCTGGCGGACTCCACAAACACGCCACACCTCCGGCCCGGGACCACCCCCTCCCTCACAGCGCCCGCCACCCGCCACGGCCCGCGGCTAAGCCAGGGCGGCAGGACTCACCGATGTTAACCGGGAAGGGCAGGTCGTGCACGGCGGGGTCCAGGTTGATCACGTACGGGGGGCAGCGCTGCTCGTGCAGGTGGGCCGCGAGTCGCTAAGGGGACACGAGGAGGCGTCAGCCCTGCTGGACACGGGGGTAGCGCTGGGGGAAACCTACCGGCAGCTCCCCACAGCCCACCAGCCGCCCCTCACCTGCACACGAAGGTGGTTTTCCCGGAGCCGGCCATGCCCAGCACCAGCACACACACCGGGGCCGTCGTCGCCAGCCCGCTCGCCGCCGCCATCTTCCCAGCACCCGTTTGCCCTTCCGGGGCGCGAGGAGCACGACAAAGGGGCGGCGGCCCCCACAGCCCCCCGCCATGACGCGCGCGGGACTCGGCCGTCGCCCTGCCGCCGCCGCCGCCG